TAGATGGACATCTCGCGAAGCCACGGAATCTATCTGACGAAACAGGGGATAAGCATCCTACAAGGCGACGGATAAACATCTCGCAAGGCTAGAAAATGCTCATTTTGAATAAACATCTTGCGAGACAAAGGATAAACATCTCACGAATGAGGCCAGATTAGGTTCATTTTTCAAGGGCAAATATGTCTAATTGGGCTACAAAGATACTCATTTTTCAAAGGCAAATAATTCAAGATTTTGTCTCTTCCATTTACTTAAGGAACAAGGACTCCAAAATACCGTCTTTTCCTTTATTTAAGGAACAAGAACTCATATATACTGCCTTTGATGGTAAGAAATTTACGAGCTAGGGCTTACTTTCAATAATATAAAATTATGAGTTAAGACTCGCCTTCAATAATAAGAAAACCACAAGCTAAAGCTCATTTTCAATAAATAAGAAAATCACGAGCTGGGGCTCACCTTGAATTATGCGAGATCTTCGAACTTACCTCGAACAATAAAAATCCATTAGTAGAAAATTTGAAGCTTTCAAATAGGAGAAAAACCCGAGTTGGAGTGTGAAATCATTGTTCAAAATTCTCATTCAATAATATGATAAGTACCCTATCCAGATGAACAAGAAAGGTGGGATAGCATCACTTTTTGGTTGTTTATAGAAATCATGCTTAACTGATCCCTGGTCGCATTGTTGGAGGCAATCGTGGAAAATAATAAAATTTTCCTAGAATGTAAGTTTATACTTTCAACATATAACTAGTGCTTTTGTTTTATTTAGATATATTCTCCCAAAGTTCAACCCTTTTTTACACAAGAGGCTCGCATCTAAAGCGCCTCCCATATTCAATCACTTATATTGTCATGTGACTTGATAATGCTATGCTATTTCTCCGCAATGGGAGTCCCCGCTAAAGCATCACTTCAATCAACATGATATAGCCCCAGCAAAGCGTCACGTCCCTTCTTTAAAGAACATAACAGGCAACAAGTATATACCAACTCAAAAGTCCATGTATTATATAAATATCCATACATGAACTTTAAGGACTATTGTTATGCCTCTTCCAGTGAGGCGTAAACAATGACCACATGGCAGCCACAAAACAAGTGACATAGGCCCGTACTCCACTTCTTTCTGCCCAAGTGGTAGCTTCAGTTGAATCCCTATCGAAGGTCGAATCTATTCGTGGGAAGATCGAAACCCCATGGATGAGGCGAGGCTACTAGGAGCTTGACGGAAGATCTTTCATACAATCTTAATGAGTGATTGATGTGACAACTCACTACAACCGTCGTCCGTCCAACCAAATAGGTCAAGTTTAAATTTTATGTATCAAGCTTTGGGCAATAAAATGGAATTAACATTAAATGCATATTATTGATTGATAATTATGATAAGAGGCCTCTGCCATTTGGATAATGCCAGGCATCTCTTGATCAAACAGTTTTTACTTATCTTCTTCTACTATAAAAGCTTAAAAATTATGTCATTTAGAGGTAATGCAAGTTTATGCTCTTAACATATAACTTTTGCTCTCATTGTTTTACATATAGTCTTCCAAAGTCGAACCCCTCTTTACATAAGAGTCTCGTGTCTAAGGCACCTCCCACACTTAACAGTTATATTGTCAACTAACTTGATCGTCGAAGTATGTGCAATCACTTCCACTACCACCGGGGAAGGATACATGTGGCTAACAATTTGTCCTATTGTGCAGGAATTGAATGGAGGTACAAAAACTAAAGTCAACATCCAACTCCAAAGCTCAAGTAGATCTGTCAAAGTGGGCTAAAAATAAAAGAACAAACGTTAAAATCTGGATAAAAAAAATCTATTCTTAAAAATTATTTATGCACAATACATGTCACAGGTGAATGTAGTGTACTATTTCTTGATTATCTTTGATAATCTTCAAGCAAAGATGTTGATGGTCGACAGACTTTGCAAAAGAATTTTTTGCTATTCGAATTTGCATTTAAGAGTATAATTTTTTAAAGTATATAGAAGATTGTTTAAGTTTAGGTTTACGTTACCCATTAAGATTTGGCTTGAGAAAAAAAAAACGAAGACGTGTGAAGGAATTTGGATAGTTAGGTTTTAAATGATATGTGGCAACTTCATATAATGCACCATGAAAAGAGGAAAAAAGTAAAATTTGGGAGAACCAAGTCAACATCGAGAACCAAACCCAATCCGATTGGTTCTCGGTTTGAAGTCCCAAAATCTATTTATTAAAGGCATTGGTGCCAAAATAACCAATGATCTATTCGATATTGAGAGAAAATTATCCATCCATAATTTATAGACAATTGATAAACATGAACCAAAAATATCATATTTTAACTATATTGGGAATGGCTTTACGAGAGATTCCCTATTTTTTATGCTCGAACATTCCATTATGTTATATTAAGCACGACAACACAAATAATCATTGCTAATTGAAAATGATTGAAATACATTAATTTTACTCATTTTTTTAACTTCAACTTGTTAAGGAAATGATAACTAAATAATGTTATTAGAATTTTTTAAATGGTTCGAGCCATAGCAACTATGAACAATAGGTCCCTAAAACTTGAAGGTGGATTTATTTATTTAATTTTCATTTATTTTGGGGGAAATGGGCACAGTAAAGCACGCTATCGAACCGTCCACGTTTATCAACTTGCATGATCATGATTGACTATTATGATAAGTCACACGTCAATGGTCACTATTCATGAATATTTATAGGAATAATTGCACAAGGATCTCTAAACATTTAAAACACTGGTAGACTTTTTCAAACCTTTCATTTGTTGTAACTATTACTGCTAATATTTCCAAACATTGTAGATGAGGCCCCAAATGGAAGGAAAACAGTTTTTTTGCTGTTAGTTGACCATTAAAATTAAAATTTGACAATTTTAACAGAGATAGGCGAGGGTAAAATTGTTTCTTCAATTTTAAAAGGGCAAAATAGTAATTAAATTGGAAAAACCAAAAATAATAAAAATAAAAATTGCATAATCTTCTTCAACCTTTGCCCAACAGCCATTGACTACCACCACCAATATCGGACGCCACAACGCAGTGACCACCACTACCTCAAATTGCCAACCGTCAATACACCCAAAATCTAATGTTTATTGACACCCCTGATGAGTGCTCTACACTCATAATATTTATGCCACCTAATTTGTTATTTTGTTACTTTTGAGAGTGTTTTAGAGCTTTTTACTGTATGTTTTGATGTTGTGATTTAGGTTGATGAAATTGAAAGAAATAAGCAAAAGTTGGCAAAATTGGAGAAAATTGCCAAATTGTAATACGTCCAAAGTTCAAGAACTAAAGCGCAAATATTGAAAAGTTGTGTTGAACCTAGCAGTGAAGATCCGAGCATGCTAGGAGTCAATTGGGTGAAAACAGATGTTAAAGGGATCAAATTTATTCAAAATATGATCACAAATCAATTTCCAATCGAAAAGTTGTACTCCGAAATTTTATCCTCACATTAAAACTCATTTTGACATAGCAAACGATTAAAGTGGAGAATAATATCTCAGGAAAATTTGTACCCCTTTAAGTTAGCTTTCTAAGGAGCTTTGAATCACCTCAATTGGACATCGGACGAGAAAGTTATGCTAAAAATATTGAAGGACGCGCAGAAGGAACTTTCCACCCGAACCGGGCACCGTGACGCCAATAAATCTGAATTCGATAGTAAGGGCAGCGCCGTGGCGCCGACTATGCGGGTAAACGTATTTTGATATTTTTGGATTTCTTTCTCGGCCCATTCCAACCTAAAATTGTCCAAGACTTGAGGAGACTATAAATACTACCTAAAAAACCTAATTAAGAGGGGGAAAACGAGCAAGGAAAACTGGAAGCAGCCCGCAAGAACACGTGATTGGAAAGAAGAGTTTAGCCGGCCAATTGCAAAAATCTGGAGACAAATCCACGGCTGGTCAATACAATTAAAGAAGAGGAAGTTATTGAGAGAATTTGGCAACAATGGAAGAAGAAATCGAACGGCAAAAATGAGTTTTTCTATTCATTTTCTTCTCTATGTTTTTCTTATTAATTTATTCATGTCAATTTTCTCAATTATGAACTAAACAATTATTCTAGGGATGATGTAGCCTACTTGAGACATGTTTTGGATTTCGTTATAATTATTTCAATTGATCTTTTATTTTTATTTATTTATGTTATTTGTGCGCAATGCTTTCAATTAACTGGCCACTAATTGACTGATTTGATGTTCTAAATTTTGGCGCTCGAGAGAGGCAATTTTAGGCGTGATCTAAGATAACATAACCTAGATTTCGTAGGTTTCGAGAGAAAGTGCGAATCTTTGAGGCTTGTTTTAATTAAGAACCACGTGCTTGATAATTTTTATATTTTTAATTTGGAATAGAGATATTGGAGTTAATATATAAAAATAGATTTTATTTGGTGCTCGAGAGAGGGAAATAGAATCACTTTAGCGTTCTTGCCTATAAATTTTGGAAAGATTGATAGAAATAATTATACGGTTGAAAAATATTGTCGAATGTACGGTGAAATCATTTCCTAGGCATTCATAATTTGATAAGAAACTTCATAATTTGTCATCGTTTACTTGCATCGTTCATCCTATTTAATTTTAATTTAGCATAAAAACATTGACTCAAAATTTGATCGTCTAAATAAAGGGAAAGATAAAATAATTATAGTACTCAATTGATTCGAATATCAATCCTTGTAGGTTCGACATTCTAACTACGTGTATAGAGATAAGAGAGAAAATACATATGTAATATAAACTGAGCTTGCGGTAGGATGTATGTTGCAACACCTAATAGAGCTAACACATTAGTCTCAGATCTTATGTTCTAAAACATATAAAACCAAATTAAAAGATTTCGATGATAACATAGTATAGGTTCCATGGAACCAATTATATGCAAATGTAATTTTTCACCAAATGTAAATAATCTTTTTCTCTGCAAGTGTTGGGGGTATGATACTGTTGATGGGGGAGGTATTTTTCGACGGCTTTGGAGGTAGCAAGGTGATGGTTAAAGAGGTGAAGTGCAGTGGCCCTATTTGGGCTTTTCCTTTTTTTTTTTTTCAAGGTTTTTCATATCTTGGATCGAATGTTCTTGGTTTAACAAAAAATTAATGTTTATAGTGGTGGCGAGGTTGATAACTGTGGACATGGTGGTGGCAAAATTCTAATTTTGGATAGATGGGTTGGGGGTGAGAAAGACCATCAAATATCCTTTTTTTCTCTTTTTTTATTTATGTTTTTTTACTAATTTTATGTGAAAAATATTAAATTACCATTTTGCCGTCCCCTATTTTGGTAGAAAGTGGTCAAAATTTATTTGGGTGATCAATTGATGATATTTTGGATGGAAATCGTTTATAAGGGCCTACAATGGTTGAAAATGTTAGGGGTGACGGTTACAATAAATGAAAGGTTTAGAGAAAATTCTACTAGTATTTTAAAGGTTTGGGACTCCTGTTGCAATTATCCCATAATTATTTAGCCCCTATTTGTCATCCATTCTCTCCCATTTTTTTTCTACGGTACTCATTTTCAACCACACATTCTTCATTAAAATAATATTATATATAAATCAAAAATTTTTTTCTTTTTTAATCACATATTTTAACATCAATCATTATTTCATAATATATTCTTTGCAAATAATGGATGACAAACACACCCTTATTCACTTCCCCACTGCTCCAACACACAAAAAACTAATAATTAATTACAGAAAGATATTAGAGAGAGGGAGCGAATGTGAAATTACTAATCGATTCAACAAACAATTCTCTGGTAGTTTTAATATATATACGCATGAATATATGAATTTATTGCTGTATTTATAATTGAATTGATTGATATTGTTCTTGCATGTTGAATACGGGATCAGATTACGGGTTCTTTAAGGTTTGCCGAGAAGATCTGCGTTTTGGTGATTCCAATTGTAGCAATATTTGAAGTATTGATTTTCGCGGTGTCGGGTTGTTGCGAGTGCCGGAGATCGTACCACACGAAGAAATTGCTGTACAAGTACGATGATTTCAATAGTCCTGCCAGTAAATCTCGATGTAATTCAGTTATAATTTACTTTTTACGGTTTAAATTTTTCGTTTTCTTAGTTTCAAATGAGATTTGGATAATTTTTTTTGCTGGAATTTATTTTTGCAGTTACTGTGAATGAAATTGAGGCATTATATGAGCTGTTTAAGAAGTTGAGTAGTTCAATTATAGACGACGGTTTGATACATAAGGTATAACTTCCCCTGATATTCCAGATAAGATGTGAGCTTCTACATATAATTTACTATTGTTTGTACTTGATATTTCAAGGAAATTTATGCGCTAATTTGATGATTTATTGTAAGGATTACTGCAATATCAACTTGTGTTCTTGCAATTTTATCTTTATATTCAAGTTTTGGACCATTTATGTGTGCATTGATATAATACATTGCTACTGAAGAGAAAAGAAAAGCCTGAGGCTTTTGAGGAAGATCCTCAAGATTTTCTTTTCTCTTCAGTAGTAATGCATTACGTCAGTGCTTAAAATCTCTGTGGGACTTGATGGTGTGGTTTTTCATTGAAGTTGAGGAAATACAGTTTCTTCAGCTATCATCTATCATCTATTTTTTTTTTCTTTCTTCTTGTCGTTTTTACAATCATCATTGGTGATGGTACGGGATGAAAATCTTCTCCTCTTGCGAGAATGCCAACTTTCAGACCTAATTGATTTGGACATTAAAATTGGAAACATTTATCGCCAATTGGTCAGTAACATTGTTGTTAATCCTTCGAGTTCAACAAGTGTATGTAGATACGAGAATTTGGTTTTTGCTTTGTGGTTGGTTAGCAACAAGGAGAGTGCAAGCATGCAGTGAGAAACTTCTGAAAGCAACTTAAAAACTTTAGAGGTATATCAACTTATTTCTGTGAGAGTTGCCTGACTTAAGTGTGTAGGTTGTGCACCATACTCGAAATTTTTGTGAGTTGAAAAGATTGTAAACTCAGCTACTGGCCGACTTCAGTTTAGCATTACTGTTCATATCTGTTTTGATTATGTGAGAACCTTATGTTGCACGTGAAAGATACTTGATCAGTTAACGGCTGAATTTAATTTAACACGGCCTTCTTGCTTCTCATTTGAATCCAACCTTTTGGCAACTATGTTTAGCTGATTGTGGAAACAATGTTTCTTCAATGTGCATGGTGTGCCTCCACATGGGAATTTATTTTTCTTTTATCTAGATGTAGAAGTTTGTTACAGCTTCTCAGCCTTTAGTCGAAGATGGCAAGAGATAGTTTCGGTGCTTATTAACCACAGGAAAACTCTCTTGTTTGCAACAGACAACAAAAACAAACTCGTACTCAAAATTTTGGATTTGAAATTCATTGTACCAACATTTTCCTTTAAGCTTCGTATAGTCAGTGTTATAATGTACGAATCTTCTTCAAGTATGCCCACACATATTGCATATATGTCATGCTTTATACTTATTCAGGTGGAATCTCAGGTTATAAATAAGCTATAACTCATGCACTGTCGTAAACATTATCTGATAATTCAAGTTAACTCTCCACTTAAAATTTAATTGATTCCTGCCTTTGCTCCCAGGTTTTTGATCTTTTTGATGAAAAGAGGAATGACGTTATTGAATTTGAAGAATTTATCCATGTACTCAATGTGTTCCATCCCCGTGCCCCAATCGAAGAAAAAATAGATTGTAAGTTATTAATAACAACTATTCCAGCTTCAGGAGTAATTTACATTATGAATTAGCTAATTTGGATGACCTCTCTCTGTTTTCTAGTTGCCTTTAAGCTTTATGATCTCAGAGTGACTGGGTACATTGAGCGAGAAGAAATAAGCTTGTTACTACGTGATGTTAATCTTCAGAGTATGTTTGGTATGATTTTTGTAGAATAAAGCAATGGGTCCTACGGAATATGTAGTTAAAATGCAGACAAAAGTTGTAGGTCATACGGAATGTATGGTTAAAAATGATGTTTTATCAGCTTAAATTATAATTTAAACTTTGCCAGACATTCACTTAATCTTATAGTAATGATAACTGAAAGATTGTATAATTTTTAAAATTTTACTATTTTAAGACTTCTCGTCATCGTCGTCTTCTTTTTTATTTATTTATTTATTTTTTTTAAACGATAATCGGGAATAATCTTTTGGGTGGTAGATGAGATACAGTCTTACTCCAATTAGATTGACTTATTCCAGATGCAGAGAGTGAAACGGTCAAGCAAGGGAACCATCCAATTGACAGACAGGGCACAGAAACTTCTAGATTTAAATTAGGAGCACTCAATTTGTTAGAGGTTGTTATTCAATTTGTTAGACGAGTCTGTTAGAGCAGGGTATATGTAAGGGGGGAAAGGAAGGCAGGAGGGGAGGAAAAAAATATACCGAGTCATTGTGGAGACGGTCAGCTTCTCAAAGTGCTGGAATTATCTTTCAATTCTTGTCATTTCCAGTTTCCAAGTTAGTGAAATATTATACAGAAAATCCCAAAAACACTATTGTTAATCTTTTTGTTACCATCACAGCATATTACTCTGATCAGAGATGAGATACTGTCTTAGCTGCTTGTCGTTGTGTTCCATCTATTATGCATTTTCCAGGGTTTATAAGATACATTCAGCTATTAGAGCACATTCCACCCACCTAATTTGCCTATGTACCATTTCTTTTCTACTTGAAATATATCTTTTGTTTGAATTTTGATAGGGCCTCTTGAATGGATTGGTTTTGGTTCGTGCATCATTTTAATTATTTTTTATTTTCTTCCAATGCCTTTTGGTTGAGGCGTTGGTAGAAAGATCAGATGAATTGTGGGTATTTGGATAGGGCATATTCCAAAATGAAATGGAGTTACTCGAAATCATAATGCCTAGAATTTGATTATGGAGAAATGAGCACTCGTTCAGTTGTACAATTCAAACTCCTTTTTTTTTTTTTAATGGCTCACAGGTAGTAAATTTGTCAAATGTTGACTGGTTAGACAGAACTTGGGTATTGTGATAATACATTTTCCAAAACGATCAGTTAAATGAAATCATAGCTAAAGATTTGTATTGTGACAAGATGGGTCATATGTCCTCAGTTTGCCCAATTTAACATTTGCTTATATTCGGTAAATTTGTTGGAAGTCAGACTCTCCTGAATCTACTTTTACAATGAAATCTATTATTCTATATATGCATTTTATGTGCTTGTGGAAAAACATTTTGGCTTTAGGTTAAGCAGTTGGTGATTGCAAGTCTGATGGAATCTGACTTGAAGCTTTCTGATGATCTTCTCAAGCAAATACTTGACAAGGCATGGCTTTGTCCTTACTGGAAAAACATTCTTTCCTTAGTTATTTCTTTGTATATGAATTATATGCTCATTGTGCAATTTTGGTCGTTTAACAGACATTTGCAGATGCTGATGCCGACATACAAATTAGCATTTAAGTTGAAAGATAAAATCACGGTTAGTGTCCTTAATTCCTTTTGGTTTAATAGACAATCCTTGGGTTAAAAACACTAGCAGCGACTGAACTTTTATATAAACTTCACGTTAGTCACTCAACTTCATATTGTTCGTATTTGACCATTGAACTTAAATACTGTTACAATTTGCTTGCTAAACTTAAACCATTGGTTACAGCTTGATCAGCAACATTTCCATCTTGCCATGTCATCTTTTTCTGATAGTCAAATTAATGGACATGGACTAAGTTATCCAATTGTCACGAGTATTTAACTTGAGTAACGAACTTAAAATAAAATGAAGTTCAATGACACGAAATTTTGCTTAAAAGTTTAGTGAACATGTTTATTTAAGCTGCCAATCTTCAAAAAGGAAAATGACATCTACTTGAGAAGATCACTACATCAGAATGTTTCTTCATGCCTAAAAAATTTGTGCCTATATCTTCCAGGGATGTATGTTTGAGAACACCATCACTATCAGTTAATCTCATGAAATTTCTATCAAAAGTATCTAGAGGGTTAAAAAGGTTACCTGGTCACGATCCTACATTGTGGTAGCTCTATCTAGTATTTTTTGGATTACATCCTATTACAATACCATTCATGCCACGTATGTTAGATGATGTGAAGAGTATCAAATGCCTACATGAAGGGAATGAATGAATGAATTATATGAAGGCTACAAAATGAGGAAAGGCATACACACACACATAGGGCCATAAAAAAGGAAAGGATAAACAAACATGCCAATTGCAATCAAGTGATTCAACAAAGATTCTACCAAACCCAGGGTCTTGGCTAGAAGAAAAGGCGACAAATTGCAGTTCATTATCATCGATAAGGGTCGAAAGAGAGAAAATAACGGCTTTTTAGGTGGGTTGAACATTAATCATAAGCTTTTTAGGTTTGGATCTGTCGCAACAAAACATATGAGATTGTAAATCATAGATCCCAAATCAATCTTAAAACCTCGTGCGAGATGATACGGTAGATTGGCCTTCAGACGACTAATGGTGGTGTGGTGTGAGTTTGGATCGATGCTGTGACCGATGAAGTTATATAGGATCATTATATAGGATCACAAGGGAGTTTGTCAGATGTCGGTATTCAAATTTATTTTCTAGAAGTGGCCAAGTGTCGTCTCTTCCATATAGCATCTGTGCAATGGCTAACATGTCTAGATCCATTGGCACTAGAACGATATTGTCCCTAGTTAGTCCTTCGTAAATATCGATCACTTCTGGTAAGAACATTAGATATGTCTTGAATCCATGCCTGGTGCATATGTTCGGTCCCCAAAATGTCTAACTCTGCATTAAAGTTGGCGTAGGACTCTTACACCAAGGTAAGATAAACTTTGTAAGGTTGCCTGCTACTTGTTCCCATCTTGCTAAACGAATCAACTGGGTCATCTCAAACCCTAGAAAGTCTTCCACCACTACTTGTCGTTCTGGCCAAAGTTTCCATCTTGAGACCAAATTATCAAATCTAGCTTTGTGCTCAAGGATTGGAAATTGCCACATACCTCATCATCAAGTCGAGTGCGAACTATGCTGGAAGATCTCGTGACCTTTTTTTGCCCTATGATGTGGAAGAAATATTATTTCTCAAACAATGTAAAAAAATGAACATTAGTTACTTGTATAGGATATGTCAGCCATAATAAAATAATATGAACGTCGATTGATAGGAAAGATGAGCGTTCGCAGGTAGGGAATGTAAGTAGGGCCACATGCATGAACAAAAACTGCATTTAGACCTTTTGTTAAACACGTAATGTGCGAACCAATGAGTCTAATGCAAACTTTGAACATAAACAAGTCTAATCCACGAATTTACGACACATGGCAAACCCAACATTGACCTAATCCCGTTCTCTATCAAGAATCACAAAAATTCCAACAAATAGCAAGATATATAGAAAACTAGCAAATCCAAGAAATTCTTCAAAATATAACGCGTACTTTTGATTTCTTGAAACTTGGGGGATGTTAGTGTGAAATAGTTGCTGAATGATGTTGTAGTTTGTACAATCTTCAATGTCCACGGGAAATTTGGAAAAAATTGATGAGAGATTGTCAAGAATTTGAAGAAAAATCGAGAGGGGGTGTTGGTAATGTTTTTCAATGTGCATGTAATGTGTATCAAGGTGGGTTTTAAAACCCACCCCACTGGTCAGCCGCGCCTTAGTCATATAAGCCCTTGTTAATTTTATGGTGGCTTTGCATGTGCAATGTCACGAGTCGACTATCAGCAAAGAGGGCATTGCTCCTTTGCTGGAATTTGCCCTTGTTAATTTTATGGTGGCCTTGCATGCGCATGGTCACGAGCCGACTATCAGCAAAGAGGACATTGCTCCTTTGCTGGAAGTTGACTCTTCAGACCCCTCGATCATCCCCAGATGTTGATTTTCGACTAAATTATGTCCTAAAGGCCTAAAACAGTGATGGAAAACCATGAAAATTATTTCAAACTCAACCATTCTTTTAAAAGTTACCTTTTGGTGTAAATTTCTCCAAATTCTCGTATTTGACCCCAAAAACTCTTTTTTTCACTCAAATCACTTGTATATGTTTTGAATGGCTCCAAATTCTTGCAAAACACATATGAAGCGTGTATGAATGCAAGAATGATCCTGAAAACCTAAGTTGTGGATGAAGATACCTAATTCAATAACAAAAACACAAAACATGAAAAATCCTAAACTAATGTATAAAAATTGAATAAATAAAAGGGAAGAAGCCTCCCAACAAGCCTTTTTTTCATAGTTTTTAGCTCACTTTTTCGTTTAAGTTTATTTTGGATCCTCAACTGGCAAATTGTCTTCGCATTGGAGTAATCACCTCCCTAATAAGCTTTCAACCTTTGCCTATTGATATTGAACCTTCGTTCGTGATCTTGAGATATAACCTCAAATGTGCCACATGGATGTACAGCTCCATTTGTGAATGGACCCGACTATCTTGATCTTAGCTTGCGTAGAAAGAGTTTGAGGCGAGAATTGAACATCGAAACTCGTTGACCAACCTCAAACCCTTTTTCTTTAATGTGCTTATTGTGCCATCTTTTAGATTTTTCCTTATACAAATTTGCATTCTCATAAAGCCCCAAACCTAAATTCATCAAACTTATTTAATTGAAGGATCATCTTTTTCCCGACCACCTTTATATCAAGGTTTATCATGTGAGTTATCCAATATGCATTACACTCAAGTTCAATTGGTAAGTGACATACTTTTTCGAACTCCAATCAATAAGGAGACATCCCAATAGGAGTTTTAAATGCGGTTCGGTAGGCTAAAAGCGCATCATCTAATTTTTTTGACTAATCTGTGTGTGACATATTAACTATAGCTTCTAGGATTTTCTTTAACTCCCTGATGGAGATCTTAACTTGCCCATTAGTCCGTAGACTTATGTCAAACAGTTAAACTATCACTATCTAGTGACTGAACAAGTTTTCATTATTTGAATAAATATTTTTGTTGTTAGTGAATTGAGCTTGTTTATTGAATGACAACACTAGAATGTTTTCTAAGAAGAAATGATAAATACATGAGCATGTTTTCGAATTGTGATATAAATATTGCTCATACAAGTTTGATCCATATTTAGTCAAATATGATTGAAGACCAGTTAGATAGTTGTATATACATGTTTAGCCCCTATTTAGTAGAATCATTTGCTGTCCCTTGAAACCATCTCGCACATGAGGCCATACTAAATTTATCAACATTATTGCTTACACTCCATAGATTAGCCACTATGTTAGGAGAACTCGCCGATAAATACAAAATAGGAGCATCTTCCAGGGCGTAAAGCCTATTTAGTTTTATTTTACCACTTTCTCTTCCCAATAGTACTGCAGTAGCAGTACAACCATTGAGTTCTTGAATATTTTACTCAAGGTCAATGTTTAACCCTGAAATGTCAAGATAAAAAATGAAATCGAGTTTAACGATTATCTAAAAATATAAAATTTAAAAAAAAAAATACATGCTTGGTTATGCTTTACTTAAGTTACTTTTTTGTGAAACTTGATTTTCAAGCTTTTTTTACTAACAAATCTTTTTTTTTCTAATTCACATTTACAAGTATTAACTTTTAAGCACATAAGCTAGTTGCTTACCGTTTCCATTGCCTGAGTAAAAATAGAGGTCATGGCTTTTTAAGACTACAATCAGCTCATTATTTGGAGGGAGGGGGTAATATTATAGCTCTCTACACAGAAAAGTCAAAGAAACTTCAATCCAATTTGGCAAAATTTTATTATTATGAGAAATAAAAAATAAGATTACCTTGCAACCATTTCTCAAATTTAACCTGTCCATTTCCAACGAAATCATTGTTCGGATTTATTAAATAATATAGGTTGTGAGGATTTACCGATGGAAAAGGTACATAATTTGTCGAACACTATGCTTGATCTTGACAATGCGTGTGAATTGTTGCAAGAATGCTTCCAACAGAAAGCATACAATAAATCTTTTTGTTTTTCAATGTCAACAGATTCTCCTATGGAAATAACTGCAGAAAATTATCAATCTTGCTTAAATAACCTTTAATAAAAGCATAAGACTATTTATGATCAATAGGATACGAATTAATCAAAGAAATTATCAATTATATTTATATAAATTACTATAATAAAAAGAAAAGCATCCTTTGTTAGATTCATTTATCTAATTTTCAAATATAAAATTCCAATTAATTATAGAAACTCTAAAAGCTTATAAAAACATAGTTGAAAATAACAAAAGAAAATACATAAAAGTAATAAATTAAGAGTGTGTACCTGAACCTCGAAATCTAGGACTAAAATAATGAGATTCCTTTTCATGCAATCAATCTCATCGTTATCACCTATTTTGTGTTTCGAACACTGAACTCAACAGGATGTAGATACTCCCGACTTTATGCCAACATAATATCATTTCATCAGTATATATAGTAAATATCTTTCATCTACGGATGGGTACTCTTTCTTGAATTCAAGGTGTTCAGAATTTGGCCACTGTCCCAACATGGCATGTTTCCAAGCACCAAATCAAAAAGCTTTCGTATCTCTTATACATGAAGACACATTGACATAAAATTAATTGAATAAAAAAATCCATCATTTTAATACTTGTAAATTCGCTGCTATAAACCAATGTTCCTAGTGAAGAAGAGGGCAAATTCATCTTTGAAGGAGATTTCAACTGAGAAATTGCAAGAAGATCATTAAGGAAACTTCATACTAGGAAAATTGCTCAAAGATTGGAAGGAAAACTTAAAAATCATCAAGAATCCATCGTTTCTCTTTAACTTTTCAAACTTTGGGTAATGTTTATTAAACTTCTAATGATTTCTTGTAATTTGAATATATATGGCTAGATATTTGCATTGTTAGGATGAGATAAACTATTGTTATAAGATTTTTTATTTTAATTAATTATTTTGACCTTTAATATGTATGTTTTTCTGGATGTTTATTATTTTTTCACCGACTTCTCAATTAATTAGCTACTAATTGAGATGATTTATTGGAATCTATTGTTATCAAGAGAGATAAGAAGTTTTTAGCTAAAAATAATAAATATTGGAAGGTTCGATAGATGATAGAGATATACATTTATACTTTATATGATTTTTATAGGTGTTCTAAATCATTTAATGAATTTATTATGTTCGTATCTTTCATTAAGAAATTAGAAGCTTACATAAGGGGAATACATTTGATATTATGCTAAAAATGGATTAGTAAGGGAGATTCTATACCTTAACAATATATCTTACGAATTTGATAAACATTTACTTACTTTCATCTTAGTTGATAAATTAGACTTTGATTTGTTACAACTTTATATTGCTATTCGAATAATGTTATTATTAATTTGAACTCAATCAAATACTTAGTCCCTGTAGGTTCAATACTCTACACACTACTATATTATTTGTTCATGATCCCGTCCACTTGCGGAAAATTAAACGATCAATCTAGGAATTCATCTGAGTAGGAGCAGATTCATCTGATTTCCAGCTAAGCTAGCAAGGACGATCATCATGACTCGTTGAATACTGGTTCTACCACTGATCATTAATATTATTCTTTCAACTTTTACATAGTATTTATTTTTATTTGCCTGATCTACCAGTTACCATTATTCGACTTCAATCAAAAGACAGGAACAATTCAAAGTGGATGTCCACTTATGTCACATTAAAAAAAATGGCATAATAACTTTTAATCCCTTTTAATAAGAAATAAATTCCTAAATGGAATATGCATGGGATTATACCCTTCTAATAAACCTACACTGATATATTTATGTATTATACTGTCAAAACCTAGCTTATAGGCTAAGTAGCCAATCATTGCAAGCTACAAAGTAAGTCCTTGTTTGACAATTATTATTTCCAAACTCTTTTTTAAGTACTCATTTTCAACCACACGTTTACACAATAAAATGTTTTTGCATATGATTAATTAAAAAAATTTCATACTTTTTAACCACACATTCCTTAACATATTTCCCATCTCTTCTTGAGAAACAAGTGGGCTATTTATTTGTAAAATTGTGCTCAATTTCATATGTGGCATTGCGATGCGAAGAGCTTTACTTGGAGAAATAGAAGAAACATGTATCACACGTGTAAAATCTGTTTATAGAAGTTTTTATTTTTATATTTATGATTGGAAAAACCATTAAATTCGGAATATGGTAAAGTAGCGTGAAACTTGTGATTGGTAGTAAAACACCACTATTCAAAACTATATTTTCCCCAAATTATAGTTGTCAAATAGGGCTAAATAAGAAAAATAATACAAGTGTAATGGAGTTTCACAATTTATTTTTGCAAGATGCCAATTATCAACACCGTATTGATCTGTTTTATTCCTCTTTTTTCCATAATCCAATCCAAGAATGATACCTCTCTCCATGTCAAACTCCCGCATACATATGCCTTTTTTTCAATAAATAAATAAAGATTTAAAGTAGCCAGCTTTGCATTAGAATATGTTAGGTTTTTGGGAGGGGATGGCAAATGAGTCAAGTCGCTTAA